TTTTGTTAAGTGAAAACGTATTCTTCCATAAGTGCATCATTTCTGTGTCTCGGTGGTGTGTTAAGCTTCACCTTGGGGCGTTTCCACCTACAAACAGTTTGACCATACTGCAGACGTCCAAACTGTAAGAAGGCTCGGAGGCAGAGACAGTAACTGAACCTCCTCCCTCCTTTCTGTGGAACCGACTCTCTCTTTTTTAATGCTTTAAACCAACAACCATAAGAAGTTCATAGAGCTTCAGAACAGATGTTTTCTTCAGAATCCGACTGATTCATTGGTTTATTTTACATCCAGTGGTGCCTGGCAACCAGGAGCTGCTTATTCCGGTAAACTCAACCCACTTCATTGTCCAAACAAAAACATCTTAACTCACGGAATCCCTTGGAAAAGTTTACATGAGTAAATCATATGACACGTAAAAGAAGTTGTAGAAAGAATGTACATTTAATTTAAAGTGATATATTTTAAAAATTGAGCCACCTTCAGTCTGCAGGGCGGGGACCCTCCGGCCCCTGGGCTCTAGATGAGCGTGATTGTATCCTGCGTTGTTATAAAACCTGAAATGTCCCTTGATTTGAAATCCGCCGCTGTCCCAGGCTCCGTTAGGCGACTTCTTCCAGTCAACGCTGTCGTTGGCTTTGTTATTATGTTGAGTAGCATAAAACCTTGATGAGTCAGATGAAGATTTATTTCCATCACATGTTTTCTGGATCTGCTTTTGAATCTTGCCCTCGTTTATTCATCGTGCGTGTAATTGTTCTTGATGTAGGAATTCGTGCTTGTTCTATTTTTTGCTCTCGCTGAACATCAGTAAAGTTAAAGTGATCACAGAAAAATCGCCCCCCCCCCCGCAGACGTTTGTCTACGATGTGTGTTTTCAGTTTGAGGTTCTGAGTCTGAGATCTTTTTTGGATGTCCTCTTCGTTTCATTCATTTTAGTGACAGTGAATCAGACGTAGACATTCTCCTGAGCTGCTGCTGCTGCTGCTGCTGCTGCACCCAGCCACCAAAAATCAGATTCGACTGTTGTTGTCTTCTGTTGGAAATGTTTGTTTGTCAGAAACAGCAGTTTCTCGTTTGGTTCAGCTCCACACTGCGATGAGCGCGCTGGCTGCAGGACGGGGAAGAGGAGACACGCACAATCGTGGGCTTTGTGTTATTTTTTTCTTTGCGGGCGTTATCATGTCGGAGCTCAGTCCTCTGTTTATTGGAGAGCAGCTCTGGTATTGTCACTGTGGCTTACTTCCACTGAGAGTCTGCTGCAGACCACATTGCAGAAGTTCTGCTTGTACAAGTGAAGTCTTAACACAGCATTAAATCCCCAAACCCACGTCCAAGTTGTGCAAACTAGAAAGAATTCAGAGAATATTTAAGTACTTGTTATTTAAAATTAGGTCAATTAATTGATTTGGAAAGAAATCAGCATCTATTTCGATGACCTCGAAATGGGTCATGGTGCAACATTTCTCAAGCTGTGCCTTTTTTTGTTTTGTCATTTTAAATTGGGTTTTGGTTTTCAACCATTGTTCTGCAAAACCAAACGTTTGGAAGAAGAAGAAGAACATTGTGGATTTTAGAAACTCATCATGAGAATAAACCAAATAATCATTAAAGGAAATTACCCCCCAGAGATAAACGATAATGGAAATAATTCTTTGTTGCAGCATAAAACCAAAAAATAGTCCAAGAACGCAGTGTTGCCTTTAACTTAGTTTAACAATCAAGTTATATTAGGATTTAGTTTCCGTGTCAACAGTAGCCTCACTTGTTAAACATGCAGCCCCTCTGCTTTGTCGTTTCATATCAAGTTGTGTTTTAATAACGTGACGTTGCGTGTGACCTGACAAAACACGACTGGTGTACAAGGTGTAAGCAGGCTTCCTGATTCAGTATCGGGTTTAATCTGGCTCAGGTCAGACTGGAAACAGCGACAGTTGTTTCGATAAAGCAAACAGTCGGGATAATCAGCCGCAGTGTGAACAGGGCCAGACATGAAAGCTGTGCTGAAGAGATTTCTGTAAAGTGTCGCACCCCGGCCTCCTCCTGCACAAACAGAAATAACACGGAGGATAAAAAAGAGGTGCAAAGGTTGCAGGTGAGATTGGAAGCAAATGTCGGAGGGCTTATAAAAACGTCCGAGGCTGAAAGGGAGAGTGTTGGTACGAGCGTCTCCTCCTCCTCTGAGCTGCTGGCCGAGCGTTGGTGGATTTGAGGAGTGTGAGGTTTCCATGGAGCCTGAACAAAGCCATCTGGACTGAGGAATGTGGTGTGGGAACGCTCGCCATTACACACTGGGGAACCGAGAGCGTGCAGAGGGCGGGGGGGGGGGGTGTTCTGATAAGAGCGCAGAGTGTGTGTGTGTGTCTGCAGCCTCTGCACGTGCTTTTGTGTTTCTGCTCTTCAGAGAACTTCACTTGTTTCCAGGGATTGATGCAAAAGTGAGGACATTTTCACCTCCTTTCACACCGAAGTGTTCGTTTCGAGACGAGGAACGTGAATATTTACAACACAATGTCGAGTTTTTTAATCTTGTTGTAAATCCCCTGTCAGGATTTTTTGGCTTAAATGACTGAATGACGTCAAATTAATTTCATTAGGACGGATTAAAATTGGATTAAATAAAAGAACAAAGCCATGTCAAGCGAGGAATGTTGAAACTATGCTTGTTTGCATCAGGGGTTGAAATATCAGCCATTTTTTGTTTGTCGAATATTCTTAAAATGTTCAAATTAATAACACAATGCAGATCATCATTCTAAGGACTTTTCAAATTGCTCACTTTGCCTGAACAACAGCAAAAAATCACCCAATTTGCACAATTCAATCTATTAAACTTCATTTAAATTGTGTAGCCAACAATTGTGTAGAGTACTTGATAATAGTTTATTAAAATGGCAGATCATTCGACGTCTTGTACCTTATCGATATTATTTATATATCATGTGTTCCAGGCAGAGATGACCTTGAATACAACAGCTGACAAACAACCGACCGTGTCCTCAATGGGGAAATATTTAATCACAAACATAAACGCACAGGATGTTAATCGTCAAATGTGTAAATTTCTCATCGGTACCAGCTCAAGTGGAAGTCGTTCAGCGTTGACGTGTTTTCTCAGAAATATAACGATTTGAGGTGATTGAAGGAAGAGAGGGGAGGAAATGAAGTGGTGAGAATCACACAACAGAGAGACGGTGATAATGGTGAATTAGACGAGGGTGGGGGGGGGGGAGGGGAGTGTGAGGAGCAGCTGCTAGTTTGTATTTCACACTGCGTGCGTCTTTGTGTGTCTGTTATTGTCCACCGTCGGACTAAGACAAAAAAAGAAAAACCCCAAAACAAACAGCCTCATGTACGTTGAAGTAACTGTAGGAACAACGTTAGAGTCAATGCATTGACATTTAAAAACAACAGAGGAAGTGTTGTACAATCAGAACAAAGACAACGAGAACAGATGAGAAGATAAAGTAACGCCTCATTATTCGATATGATTGGTGTCTCTTTCTTAAATTGGAGGAAAAGCTTCCTTTTCCCTTGAAGTTTAGATTTTTATGGTTTATATTAAACATCATGTTCAAATTTAGACTTGTATATCCGGCCATTTTCAGGAATTAAAGTAAAGTGCAGTAGAAACAGCTCGTCTCCTCTCCGCTGGATCCACAGAACGTTTTTTTCCAAAATGAGCCATTTACAAGAGAAAAACACGACTGAGAGAACATTTACACAAATTACGGTGCTCTGTGACTGGGCGGTATTTAACTGACGAGATGATGGTCATTCACAGAACCGTGTGGATTCTCAGATTTTAGAAATGATTATTTCTTTTTCCGTCTGTAATTGGCACGTAGCATTTTTATAGTACGACTAAAAATGTCTCTCTTTGGACGTCTCCCCGTTTTAGCACCAGAGGAATTTATAATTAACTTCAAATGACACGGTGAAACACTCACTGTCAGCTGCTGTGGCACCGACGGAAATATACAACCCCTCGAGTTTAACGTGTTGTTTTCTGGAAGAACAAACACGTCAGGTTGTTTTGTAGACTCCATACAGACCATTTTACAGATTTGAAAGCTGTGCACGTTGTTCACGGCAGGTTTTTATTGCGTTTACTCTTTTTGTGTGAATCTGCGAGTCGTCGTTTCATGTCACACGTCATGTACTTTTTTTTATTAAGCAATCTGGGTTGTTTCTCTTGTGAGTCATCACAACACAAATCCACATTCTCCCTTCACCGTGCTGCTGCATCGTTTCTATGACATTTCGTCTGGAATTTGTCGAGCAGACTTTCACATCAGCTCTTGTTTTCAGTGACCTGCTCTGTTTTTACACCTACCGCTGTTTTCCCACCAGTTAACCAGGATGTATGGACACTTAAAGCTTTTCCACTGACACTTGCAGTGTTTTCTCAGAAGCCTGGAGACTATTGTGCGCTTGTTTCCTTGAGCAAAGCAGGAGGAAAAAAATCCCCAGAGACAAACCAGTTGATGTGTTGATAACAAAAAAAAAAAAGACGGCTTCATCTACCTGCTAAACTATTTAAAAAAAAAAAGGATAAAATGAAAAACTGAAATATGAGTCAGAGGCTTTGGGAATCAGCTCCGGTCTCCAGTTAGTTTTGGAAAAACTTGCTCACAACATGTTTGCTCTGATAGATTTGATCCCCAGTGGACACGCTTGGTCATGAGGCTGTGAGACAGAGATGACATAACTGGAAAAATCGGGTTGTCCTGCAGTCGGAGGCTAGAGCGATTCAAAATTAGAAGTTGCCAAGTCTTGAGAATGTTTGGGTTCGACCGAAAAGTCACGAAGAGTTGAGGGAAAACTTCTTGGTCTGTGTATAAACGTTTGAACGTCAATGGAAGTTATTGTCTTAGAACAAAAGGAACCCTGACACGAGGAGAAAGCAGCATTAGACATTTCAAGCAGAATCCCATAAACTGTTGATCACGATGATTTATATGTTTGGGATGTTTTTTTTTTTTCCCCCTCTTTCTTACAGACAGGAGGTTCAAGAAAACTGCGTTCGCTGGAGGAAGAGGTTCACGTTTGTGTCCAAAATGAGCGCCAACCCCCACACCGGAGTCCTGGACCCGTCTGTGTGCAGAGTGTCAGTCAGGAAGGTACGATTCCCAACGTCTGGAGATAAACTTGGTTAATACTCTGATCTTACACAGTCTGGAAATTGAACCCAGCGATTAGAAAACCACACGTCCGTTGAGCTGGAACACTCAGATGTGGTTTTGGACCAGAGTCCATTAATCCATTGTTTTTGTGACGAGAGAAGAATGGGAAGATGCCATCGGGTTGTTATTTTCTATTTCTATTTCTATTCTATGTTGTATTTGGACATCAAACTCACAACGTGTCCACCTATAACTTGTAGTTCGGTTACACCAGCCAGTTATTAGAGGTCAGGTGGCAGGAATCAGCATCAACACTGTGGTTAGCATCATTTAAACAACAAGAAAAAGTCTGGAACAGTAGATAAACTAACTGTAGAACTACGTTAGAGCGATTTAACTGTGTAACAGGATTTTAATGGACGTCCGCCATCACAATAATATAATAAAAGTAATGAATCCACCTATTTCCTGGTCCAGACATGACAAGATGTTGAGGTTATGACGTTTTATTTATTTATTAACTTCTTAATCTGCAGATTATCTTACATATCTCATCTGATATGATTTTTTTTTTCCTCCTTGATATTGATTCTGATGGACTTAGATTCACATACTCACTGATCTGTCTCATGCTGGTACATCTCTGCTGAAAAACATCAGGCCCCGACATCAACCCCCAAAAATATTCAATCTTACAAAAGACTTAAGAGAAGCAGCAAACGTCTTCTGTTCCTGTAGAGAGTTCCTCACAGAGTTGCTCACGCTGAGCAACACAGGAACCGTGAGTGTGGTCCCGGTCTGTAATTTCCAGTCTGTCACTGGAGGCCTGTAATTGGAGGCCTCTCTAATATAAAGTTGGATCAGTTGAATCACTGGATTCATTTCTGTCTTCCTGTTTTCCCTGCAGGAACTCAAAGGAGGAAAAGCATATACGAAGGTAAGGGCCTGTGTCTCTCTCCCTCTCGACCGCCTCACCTCTCACGTTCATAAACACTTAGACACACGGCCACAGATGAGCAGACGCTGTGAGTCTCCGTGCCGCATCATGTAAATATTAACATTTCTCACAGCTCTGCGACGAGCCTGCCAACATCCCGGCACAACCATAAATCAATAACCTGTCCAACCGTGTTCACATTTGCCGGGAATCTGCAAAACATCCTGCCAACACCTCTCCAACCGTAATGGTGAGACCCCCCCCCAACCCCCGCCCACCGACAGATGAGTCACGTCTCCCGCATGAAACTCGAAGGTCAAACTCCTCATGGAGATAAACCTTTTTTTGCTCCTTGGACGTCGTTGCCCAACAGGAACCGTTTCCTCTGTTTTCACCCGATCTCCATTTAGATTTCCTCTCGGCTAATTTTACCTCGCTTCCCTCCTTAGAAGTTGGTTTCCTTAAATACACACCTATGAAAACAGGAGCCCCCCTAAAGAAAGGGAAACCTGGAGGAGGAAGAATGGGAGGCTTTCTCCGGAGAGATGCACATTTGATTTAAAATAACAGCACAAGGAGCAGTTCAGACAAAAGCAGTTCCCACGCAGGACTGAGCTGCTGCTGCAGAGATAAAAGTGCTGCAGACACTTATCGGTGTTATCTGAGGCTGACGCTCACACAGGAGGTCAGAGGTTTCTGAACGAACACAAGGTGTCACATACTAGAATACTAACAATTTAAACTCACAAGGTCATATTATCGAATCAGTAGATCACATACCTCATCCAGAAGCTGCACCAAAGCACGCACACACTCACACACACACACACACTCATCAATGAATTCTTACCTGGGAATCGGTGAAAATGTTGAAAGTTCCTGGATCCGTCCCCTGATCCAGACTCACACAATCAAATAAACACACAAACCAACAAACTAAGAAAACACAACCTCTCTGGTGGATGTGATTTAAACAGTGACAGTCCAACACGATATCCAATTTACTGAACAACAATTGGATTTAAAGGAGATTCAGAAATACAGAGAATCGACCCACCATGTCGCCACCCACTGGTTTGTGCGCTGCTGTTTTTTAAGCAATTGCGTTTGACTCGTTGTCCGGCGCCATCTTGGTTTTTTTTTTTGTGAGCTTCGGGACGTAAATGTTTTTCATGTTCTAATTGAAGGGTGTTGCACAAATCCGTCCTTTCTAAACACGAGCCCGGAGTAGCGTTCTCACGTCAGTGGGTCTAGAATTAACTCCGACTCTCCTTCCCCCGCTCTCAGCTGGGCTTCACAGACCTCAACATGGCGGAGTTTGCTGGCTCTGGCTCCACCGTGCGCTGCTGTCTGCTGGAGGGATACGACACCAAGAACACGCGGCAGGACAACTCCATACTGAAGGCAAGGAGATGTTGGAGAGCACGGGGGATTCCTTTCACAGTAAAACTTGTGGTATAAACGAGAATTTGAACGTGTAATACATTCACTAGGTCCCCGGGGCCTGAAGCAAGCTTGATCATCAACGCTGAACCTTTGACCTGTGACCTTTTCATTGATCGCTTCCTAACCCACAAATTTAATCTGAAGCGACCAGAGTTGAAAGGTTGATGTGTTGAGTGTGAATTAACCCTCGACTCCACCTGAGCCGCTGCTGATGTTTGACTGTGACAAGGAATAATCAAATTTTGATTTCTGACAGGTGATCATCGGGATGACCCTCCTGTCTGGAGATCCGTGTTTCAAAACGTGAGTAGTTCACGTTTAGATTCAGGACGTGTGTCACAGTGACGCAGGCGTTATTGGTCTTTCATTACATTTTCAACCCTTTGAGCTCTGACGTCTGAGAATGCTTCATATCTCTAATGTCTGTCTACCCGATGATAAGGGATTATTAAAGTCAATAAACCAAATGAGAGGAGATCGATTTTAAAAAGATCAAATATCTCCTATGGTCCACGGGTGCAATGTCGGTTTTCAGAGGGTTAAACACTTGTGTAATTTTCCGTCCTCTGTTTTCATCTTTCTTCATCACGTTGTCTCTCAGTTGTTTTGCATTATTTAAGTTAAAAACGTTTCTAAAACAATAATATAGATAATATAGGTAACAGTTGATTTAAAAGGCTGTTGTGTCTGATAAGCAGCATGCACTTATAACTTTGATGATTCTTTCTTTGTTTTCCCCGTTTTTAAAAAGGT